CTGCTTTCAGCTGTTCTCGATTCTGCTTATCGCGCATACCGCACTCGTCTCATTCTTGAATGTAAATATTCCGCAGGATATGAGCAAAAGACTACGGCGCTCGCGGCGCGAGACCACTGCCGCCGAAGATACAGACATTGCAAAGTACTCTGCTGAAGAGCAGTTGTCTCTGCTCGAGACATGGTTAGAGTCAGCCAAGGCGTCAACATACGAGGCTATCAACAGCCACCACCGCGACTTCTTGACAATCCGGCTATACGGAAAAGATCCCTTGGACGAAGTAGCAACCCTGAATGACAAGTGCGAGACAGTCCGGACAAGCGTCAGCAACAACGCAGACTACCAGCAGCGACTAGACGCGATCGGGCAGGGCTTGGACGCAACAATGCGGCTGGCAAAAACCCATGCTGACCTGAAGGAGGTTGACGAGCAGATTATGCACGGCGAGGTAGCAGTCGCCGCCAGCACCATCGCCGAGGTATGCGACCTGCTGAAAGGGCTGGAAGGCGATTGTCCGCAGTTTGTTGAGCACAGTGCTGTAGCCACCCTGCAGACACAGTACATCAAGAAGCGAAGCGCGCTGCGGGCTGAGCTGGACTACCTAATGTCCAAGATGTACGCTGTCCGCAGCATTGGGTCGGTGTATGAGCTCGCTGTATCGTACAGCGTCACAGCCAATTACGACGGCGTTCCGTACGAGACCCCAATTACAATCAGCGATGTGTTTTTTGCACTGACGCAACTTGGTCTGGATAAGGAGAAGGTTGCACCGCTGGCCAAAACACTAGTGGACCATTGGTTTGTCCCCTTGCTGCGCTCGCCAGCCGAAACGCTATCTGTAAGCAAGGTCAGCATGTTTGCCACCATGAACATTGGCGCCTTTACCCCTGATCGGCGCGAGGATGAGGTGGACCAGGGCGCCGATCTGCAGGTCCAATGCGAGCTGGTCCGAGACAAATGGGAGACGGTGCTTGGGTTCATCCGCGAAGAAATCTTCCACGACATCAACCCAATGGAGGATCATACCGAGATCTATGTGTACCTAGGCGCCAACCTGTGGTCATCGCTATGTCCGCTACTAGAGGAGTATCTGCTTATCCCGCTGATTCCAACCGATCTGGACAGTCTTACAGACACACGGGCTATGGTTCCCCTGCTGAGGCTCGAGGAAGCATGGCTCGACTACGGTCTGATCACCCCCGAGGCGCTGGTTGTCAAGGAGTCGGTCCGATCGTCGTTGCAAAACTATATCAACAAGCGCCGGCGCGATCTGCTGACGACGGTGGCCAGTATCCTAGCCACCGATGACACCAACACGGTGGTTGTAGGTGGCGCAGGACCGGTGGCCGATGTTCTGAGCGAAATGGCGTCAGGCGGAAAGAAGTCTAGCGAGAAGAATAGCAAGACTAAGGGCAAGGGCTTTGCCATGAGTGCCGAAGGTGATGGCGAGGACGCCGGATCGCTGACCTTCCCCCGCTGCTCGATCAGCGTCCAGGCGCAGATGCTGGTTGAGTTTGCCCAGGAGACCATCGGTCTGAGCCTCGAGGACGACGCCAAGACGGCAGTGCTGTACCTGCATGCGGTGCGGGATGCATTTGCCCTGTATCGGTGCCTTATCCCGCGCCAGTGGGCTACCGAGCTGCTGGTCAACCCCAAGCGCGCCTTTGTCATGCACAACGACTGCGAGTTCATCTGTCACCACCTGTCGACGCTTGGGTTTCGCTACCGTGAGCGGTGGCCGGCAGTGGTTAAGTCGGCGGCGACGTTTGTTGATACTATTGGCACGTATCGTGCGCTGTCAAAATCGTCCCTGCAGTCGCTGCTGAGCCGGCACAGAGACGAGCTGATGCAGGCACTCGGACCATGGAGCGAGCACGGCACACTTGACGAGAACA